TGTTCAACCGCTTTACAGCGTCACAAAACATTTCCATTAGGAGAAGCGCGCTGCAGTTTAGTAAACGATGCTAATAAAATACAAATAAACACATGCAAGTGAAGAAACATCTTCACCAATTTGATTACATAATCACCTTACATGTAATCCATTACTCACCAAGCACGGCTGTAGTCAGTGGTGGAAAGTACCTAAGTACATTTACTCAAGTATTGCACGTAAGCAACTTTCTGACATAATTGTACTTGACTTGAGTAGTTTCATTTGATGCTACTTTATACTTGTACTCGGCTTTGTAAAGGAGTGCTTCTCCCCAGTGTGGCTGTAAACAGGTTGCTCTGTATGAACAGCATTAGTGTGGTGTATGTGTGACTCCCTGCTCTGTCAGTCCTGGCTCCATGTGCCCGCTGAGGCCTCCTGTCTGTCTGCTGGCTGACCTGCAGCAGCACCCTCCATATGTGCCCTCCCTAACACCTTCTGTCACTGCCACACAGCACGTCATGTAAACTGGTGGTCCCTGTCTGACTCTCAGTCTGTGAACCTCTTCATCTTTCAGCCCACAGCTTTACTTCACTCGCATGGTAATCTGAATTCTGCTAATACTGTATGTAATTCTCATTATTATATACAGTATATATTTATTTATGTAAATAATTTATCAGTTAAATCATTATTTGTAATTGTTGCTAACTTTCAAAAGTCTATTTTCTCACCATAGCTAATAATTATATTATGCGATTATCATCTTTAAATGCCAATTACGTTTTGTAACGAGGAAGAACTTATTTATCTATTAATTTAGTTAGCAAATAGTTAACTAAATAACTGGCTAAGTGTTACTTTTAACAGTGTTTCTTCTCAGTATAGCTAATCATTAAATGTAGCAATACATCTTTAAATGCCAGGATGTAACAATATATGTTTTGTTTTTTTTGCGTGAACCAACTCTATCAATAATTCAGTGCCATAGAAAGTCACACTCATCACATTCTTTGCCATGAATGTGCCATTGCATCACATGACATCCGTGCTTTTTCTGACCTAAAGTCAACAGTGTAGTAGCCCTGTTGGCTGGCTGGTGCAGCGACACGTTCTGGCAGTCCCACCTGGCTCTGCACCATGGCTTTTCACACCACGGCCCAGTGGAGCAGCAAAGCCCCTGGTAGCCTGGCTACATTGGACCTGGGCAATTTGGACAATAATTAAGTCATTAATCTTCCCTCGACCATATGAAAAGGCTGCATCCCATTACCATGCCCCCCCTCTGAGTAATGTGGTTCACCATACAATCAGCCATTCACCTGATAAGAAACCAATTCAGCCCCTCTGCTTCTCCATAGCGTTAGCCGCAGACGCCGCCGCTCACCTTGAGTTAATGAAATGCCTAAACAAATATGTCCTCTGGAATCTAATAAACCCAACCACTATAGAGTGCAATATGGCCTACGCACAGGGTATATGGAGATCTAAATTATCTGTCTCACAGTGTGCTGATGGTTTGCATTCAGGTAGTGGATAATCTCTCTTCTGTGCACTGGAACTGATGATACAGCAGCTCCAGAGAAAGCAAATAACTGGCAGTCACATTATAACTAAGCTATTATGTGTTTGTGTCTTCATAATTTAAAGAAACAGTCTCCTAAGTATACAGTAAGTGCACACTAGTCTTTTTTAAATCCATAAAATAAGTCAAATAGATTAAGTATCCCGCCTTCCTACACAAATCACTACAATTTCCACATAAGTCTTCCTTAATAGGGACCAAACAATCAATAATTCAGAGCAAATTAGAGCAGGAATTAGTGGTGGAACGCAATCCTGAACTGGAACACTGTCTAACAAGTGTGTGAATATGTGTATTTGTAGAAAAATAAATTCTACAGTGTGTCCTTGAAGTCGCACAAAGAAGACACCATTGTTGGATGTAATACTTTGAAGTTGTTAAGGACAAACTGTCATACTGCCATTTAGCTGTGGGAAACATGTTGACCAAACTGCAGGGTGGGAATAAAGTCTCAGCAACCGTTTTCACTTTATACAATAGTAATGAACGAAGATCATTGAAGGTAAGGGGTTGAAGAGCATGTTGGAGAGGAAATGGACAGAGTAGGAATTGGTCTGAAAAGGTAAAGTGGTTTCAGAGGGTAAGTGTGTGCTCTCAGGTGATGAAGGTACTTCAGTGTCTTCTTCAAGCACGGAGAGGGCTATTTTAATAAACACTTAACCATGTTACCTAATACATCATAGTCTCACTATGATGTGAGTTGTTTGCTTATCCACATTCTTTTTTCTCTTTTGATGTTTTTTTTTAACAGAACGGGAAAAAAAATACATCAGCATGTTTAGGGAGACTTTTCATTTTTAAACTAGCCAATAGAAGCTCAAGTGTTACATTGTGATGTCACTTTGTCACGGAAGTAAAATAATTACTGCAATCGAAGAGTTTTTAGACAGGGGGGTGTGTAAGAAAATCCTCCTGGGGTGAACTTTGAGCCTTTGCAGACCATTTCTATTCACAACAACCTATATAACACACTACAGGAAAGGGAAACCCCCAAAAGGCATTATATGGAGCAGTTTCTAAATATAAAGTTTGAATGCATCATGGCAATAATACAATGACATGTCCCCCCGTGGCATTTCCATACACCTAGTGTTTGTAACTTGTCTCAGCCATCAGAACCACACACACTGACAGAACTGTTTTTCCTATTCTCTTCTCCCTGCCTCCACTCATTAAATGTCATGCCTACAGTAACATGTTATAGACAGCTCAAAGCAACAGTGGATAGCTTACTTATGACTCATTATTATAAGAAAAAAGGCTTGGAGGGCATTTCAAGGCTTCTGCACATTCAACTCAATGCAAGTTTTGGGGAATTAGTCATATGCTTATAAAACGGTCTCAAGCGCCATTCAGAGCAGGCATCTCCCTTTGTGTGGCATTACAGTGTGTAATCAAGCGCCGCACTTTCCAGGGCAATCACGTCCTTTATCACAGAGGAACTGTCGCCAACCACCTACAGAGTGGGAGGAGAAGCCCTGTGTGTAATTGAGTGTGGTGGGTGCCTGATTGGGTATGGTGAGTGAGAAGTTTTGCACAACTCTCCCCCCCTGCCCCCACAATTCAAACTGACACGTCATAGCTGAGGACAGCTATCCACACACGACGTGGGACACACTTTCACGCCACTTACTTTCAATTTACTTATTTATTTGTTAGAAAACTTCAACCTTGTGCCCAATAAGCTAAAGACTGATTAAGTTTATGTTTCATACACTTTTTTTTGGTTTTCCAACATCTAACACTTTTATTTGAGATTAAACGGAGGGCTCAGAATTGCTTGAGGTAATTAGGGGTGACATGATGTTTATGTAACCTCCAAGCCTCACAAACCAGATGCAATTATGGGCTCCTGGTTCCTGTGACCCCGGCCCTGTAGCAGAGCACGGGCGAAACTGCAATCCCGCGTCCCAGGGGTGAGCCTGGTTTTGGAGGGTGATGGGGGGGAATGTGGTAGGGTGGAGTGGGGGCAAGCAAGAGTTGAGTTCTTTTCACAGCTCCCCCTGACGGGAGCTCTCGCTACCTAATCCAAAGTGACGGGCACTTCAGTGGAGAGGGCGTGGAGCCCCCCAATTTCCGCCAGGACCCCACTGCAGGGGAAGCAGAGAAGCCAAGGGTTGGGGTGGCAGACTTATTGTGGCCTAGTGAGAAAGAGCGGGGCAGGGGCCTCATTACAACGCTTAACTGCACTCACAGGCCCTCATTAACCCACCATACCAGTGACAAATCAAAACAGACAATAAAAAGAGGTCGCCGTTTGAATGAAGGCCTCCATTTGAGTGGAGCTGCAGCGTTGGAACTTTATGGAGCTTTTACACAAATACATTTCCGCAAACATTGAAGATTTCAACAATGGGTTTCATCTCATGTTAAATGTGATTATCCAACTTGCACATACACTTTATGTTTGACTGCTTCCATGTAGGCCTATGGACATCTGGGAATTCCAGAGGAAGGTAATGAGGGAGCGACAGTGTAGTTAAACAAAACCCAATATGTCCGCCGTAATAAAAGCACAGTAACGCAGTGCTTTAGGTAGTCGTGGAAGACTCCCTTTAGTGCATGGGAATGGATGATGAGAGATGACAGGCACTTACGTATGTTGCTAATGGGATGCAAAGCCAGTGCAAAGATAAAGCCCAGCCTGTATCCCCCCCGCCCCCCCGTGCTTGGGGGAGAAGAGCTTGGCACGCCAAATGATGCGTTTCATAGAGACAATTAAAGAGCAAATCAATGCTGCTGCCTCTGTGAAATAATTAGAGATGCGGCCGACTTCAACTGCAACCACATCGTGGAAAGCATGCAATAGTTGTAGGAGAGATATTAAAAGGGGATTTTGAGGTATATTCCTGGAAGATCCTGCAGATTAAACCGTCCAAAAGAAACCTGTTTTTCATTAGGCCTCGGGATTCTTTCAAGACGTTTTTTTTTTTCTTTACGAGGTGCCTCCTACATAGTGTGTATCTACCTATATACTACATATACTATGCTATGATTTTTTACTTTTCTAACTCAACGCTAGAATTCAAGTAGGTGGATGAAAGAAAGAGCTGTAATCACTAAAAGGTAGATGAAGTGGAGAGACAGCACCTAGCCTGCTCTCAGCTCCGCAGTCTGAAAAACATGGAGATGAGGTCACGCTGTTAAGACCAGCAGGCCATCACATTCTGCATGTCACATCATCAAAGGCACTCTCGTTCCCATTTTAGAGCCCTTCATCTGCATGCATCACCATACGGGAGAGGAAAGAAACTGACTCGCTGGAGGTCCATGCACTGTGCATTATGTGCTTGTAGAGGAACGAGTGCGATGAAGAGGTATTGTAGAGGGCATGAGCGACAAAGGAGCAATACAGAAATAGACGTGGTAAAAACTAATGGCGAGAAGAGCACATGGGGACTTTAAAGTGTAGAAAAAGACAGATGGGCCCACTTACCAGCCTGGTTAGTGGTGATGTTGACTGAGGAGTACTGAGGGGAGTACGGGCTCTGGTCTGACACGCCGTTGACAGCCTGCACCTCGAATGTGTACTGCGTGTGGGCCAGCAGCTCACTGATGTAGACCCGGGGCTCTGTCAGGCCCAGCTGACGGGGCTGGAACTGGACGTTGTCCCCGCAGCGGGTGCAGCCTCCACGGCCTCCACCACAGCTCTTGCAGATGATGTTAAAGACGACGTCCTCGCGGCCCCCCGAGTCCCGGGGAGGTATCCACTCCAGCATCACAGAGGTTTCATTCACGCTGGAGATGACGGTCTGTGGAGCTGAGGGGACGGCTGGAAAACACAAGAGAGAGAGAGTAGTAAGCACTTAAGCATAAAAAACAATACATAGATAGCTTGGTAAGTGATCTCTTGGTCAACTGAAGTGTCACTACAGGGAACACTACAAATATTTATCAGTAGTGGATAAAGAATTTGACCTTTGACCTAGGTTGAAGTAGAAATAGTCAGTTGTAAAAATACTGTGCTGCAAAAATAACTGCATTCAAAATCTTACTTAAGTAAAAGTATAAATGTATTGGCATTTAAACATACTTAGTTATGTTACTTTGTTATGACCATTTCAGAACCATGTATATTTAATTACTTTATTAATATTATTGGTGCATTATTGTGTGTATTGCATCTGGTAACAAGGGACACACATTGTGTGGAGTAGAGGTATACAACTAAAACTAAAGAAAAGTACAAGTACCCCAACCTAAAATCTAAGTGCAGTACTTGAGTAAAAGGACTTCATTTATTTCCCAAAATATCGACTTTAAGATATCCAAAAACTACCGAAAAGTGTTTATTGTTTAGCTTTCTAGTACCATTGTGTTTTCCTTGGTAAGTGTTGCTGCTGGGGGAAAATGTCTCATCTAGAAAGTATTTTGAATTCTTCTAATTATAAGAGAGATATTGTGTTGTTTACTTGATGGCGTTGAAGGCATAATTACCGACTACTTAAATAACACAGGAGGAGTGGAAAAATCCACAAGCTCTGTAACACACTATAGCTTCCTATAGACGTCTGAGCTGACTGCGTTCCAATCTGGCAGCGCCTCTTCCCTCGGGATGCACATTTACACTCTCATTTTCCATGCTGGTGTCCACTTTGTCAAGTGTTTTCTTAACATCTATTCCTGACAACTTTCTCCTGGAGCATCGTATAGAGTTACTGCCGCGGAGAGGAACCTACTGTTTCTCCTATTGAGACATTCTTAGCAGCTAGGCATTACCGGGGGCAAACTTTCCACATGGGGCTGCATGTTGAGTGACAGGGCAAACAAACAAACAATGAGAAGTGTTTATCTTTTATAACCATGTGCACCTAATTATGGAAGTCGTACCCTGCAGGACTAATGAGATAAAGAGTTCTACTCCGCCCACAGCATCCTACATTCTGAATCGATCACTTCTTATTTAACCCCTTTTAATTGGCAGCAATTAACAGATCTCCGGCTTTGGAAGGAAGCCTGTTGGAAGTGCCCTTCTTGGTGTCTCTTGAAACATGGAAACATAACTCCTCCTTGGCTTCTCCTTCCTGGAGAGGAGGACTAATATCCCCCCCATTAGCTGGCGGGGCCGCTCTGATGGGGCCATTCCCTTGCTTTAATCAGGCCGGACCCTGCTGCGCTTAATACGGGTGACGTGACGCCGCTGCTTTCTCATTCACAACAGCTGCTCGACTCCCAGAGCCAGGCTTATGCAAATCTCCTTTGTTGGAGACCATCAAATCTTTTCCCTCCTCTCTTCCTTTTCAACAGGCCGAGAGGGAGAGTGAGGAAAAAAACCAACCACAACGTTGAAAGGAGATTTTCTTTTTGTCTCACTCACCCTTGTTTTGTTTTAGTTAGACCACACTCTATGCACAGAATCGTTCTCACATACACACAACCCCTCTCAAATTGCCTCTCCTTCTTCGTTCCTTTCCCTCACATTTTTACCCCTCCCTCCTTCACTTTTTTCTTTGGTCTATCCTTCCGTCTCTCCTTCTCTTTCTCAACCTCTGTGTCAGCTTCAAATTCAAATTCAAACAGCTTCATTGGCATGACAAGAGAGCGTCTCGCCCAGGCTCATTCTCCGTGGCTGCCCCCTTCACAAAGCTCCGCGCCCGGCCCAGTAACCCCAGGTCTGGCTTGGAGTACGGCCTGTGTGATGTTGAGGAGGGGGCAGCCGAGCCTTGTGTGTTGGGTCAGATCTGTGGACAGCAACACTGTGGGCATGTCAGCGTCCTGTTCGCGTGAGGGACAGCTCTGACAGGGTTTCTCTGTTTGCAGTTACACAGACGACCACTGTCCTTTGATCCCGGGGCTCATCTGCTTGCGGGTGTGAGATGTGTATGTGTCAAAGGGTTCATATTTAAAATCAAAGGCTTTGTGGGTTAGGCATTCATGCCTGTGGGCTTTGTGTGTTTGTGTGGAGTGCAAGTTCACACATAACAACCTCAACGCTATACGTACTTGTGCAGGGCATCTGGAGAGGGTCTGAGTCGGTGCGGTAGTAACCGTTGCGGCAAACGCAGTTCATGGCGCCTTCGCTGGTGGTTCGGCTGTTGATGGGGCACTGCAGGCAGGGTTCGTCTTTCTGAGTCGGCTTGAAGAAGCCCGACGGACAGGCTGAAAGAGAGAAAGATAGGTATGAGGAAGTGTATAGAATGTTAAATCATTACTTCATATGAAAAAGATTCATATATGACACAAGTTGGACAATTGGGGCTTTGATGAAATGTAAGGTGTTAGGCCTTGACATTTTTTTGTATCATTCACTTAATGATTTTGACCAGAGAATCAGGAATTAGAGCAAACATTTTCAGAATCCAAGAAATTGCTTTTTATTTTGAAGAAAATACAAAACGAGAAAAGATATTCAATACAAAACACATGTTCTGTTATGTGTCATGTTATGTTTAACTCTGTCGACCAATAAACTATTCATTTGATCAATTTGGCACTGAAAGTGTGTCAACCGTATAATGGGCAGAAGGGTACATTTATTAGCCTGTGTATGTACCATCATTACATCTGACACCTCTTCATTAGTGCATGTCTATAGGTCCTGTTTGTGCGTGTGTATGGGTGTGTGTATTTCAGGCCTATGTGTGTCATTTGTCAAATAACATAGAGTGAAAAACTACATTTCAGATTAATAAAGGTAATCTCAATCTTAATCTTACATCCTTATGATATTTCTTCTATATTTTAAGCACTTTACCTCAACCTAGTATGACTTCACAGTACAAGACAAGCACTCATGTGAGCAGCACATTTCAAAACAACACAGTAAACACAGACCACGGGTCCCAACATATATATCATTGGAACCCAACATATATATGTACCACAACACAGCAGTGATGCCTTGTGAGGGCAACTCTCTGCAGATATGCTAACATGGCAATACGTTGTACATTTGCTTTGAATTATTCACCATGCTCCAGTTGCCTGAGAAATCTTGGAAGTGCCCTGCATTCTGTTAAGAGCCCTTTTAAGCGACTGAGGAAACATGGGAGGAGAGTTACATTCATGATAGAGACGATGATGACCTCACACACCATTTGTGTATCCGCCCGTGTGCGTGTGTGTGTATGTGTGTCAAAGGCAGAGGTAAATGCCTGTTATGGCTGTGATAAACAAAGTAACTTCTAAGAACTCCACTTATCTGCCTAAACCTTCAAAGCTAAAAACAACCTGTTTTTCAGCCTTTGCACCTGCATCATGTCAAATGATTTTTCTTTTGTATTATTTTATAGGGCTTTTTGCCTTTTTTTCAGAAAGTAGAGAGACAGTAAAGGGGAGATAGGGGGGAGGACATTCAGCAATGGGCCCCGGGTCAGATTTGTACTAAGAACTGAGCTTAAGTACACGGGGCGAACGCTCTAGCAGGTGATCTAGTGCCTCAGAAGAGAGCTTCTTTTTTATGTTGGGCCAAAGCAGCTGTGGTTTTGCTCGAGGTAATCCAGTTCCCACCTGCCATACTGTTGAAGGAGAAAATACAGAATGTGTTGAGAAAGAGGTGTTGGAAGTACAGTAACATGAACAATGCACACACGGGACACACTGCATATCTGAAGTGAAAAAGCCCTCAGGTCGGACAGTGCTTTTGTTTTTCTTCACTGTAAAACCGTAAGGATGTATTGATTCTGAGGAAAAACGCTTTTCAGTTTTTTCACCTAATGCATCTCTATCATCGTTAAGTTCCTTTTTATTTCAATTTCAATTCACTATGAAATCTGATTTTGAAGATTGGTCTCACTCAATATGGACACAGTGTTCTGTATTTAAAAAAAAAAGTAATATTACATGACTGGTTTCTACATTGTAAAGCAGTAAAAATACAGACACTGTTTCGTTCTGAAGCCATACAGGCAATTACGACTCAACTGTAACATCTGGCAGACGGAAACATCTGCAGCTGCAACTCCCATTTAAACAAGGCCAAATCATAAGGTGGAATTAATCCAGGTCCTATCCCAATGTTTAAATTAGACAGACACATCAATGGACTAACAGATGCTTAAAGCAAGGGCTCTTTTTTCCACCTGAAAGTACATTACCCAGTGCCATCACCTCCTAAATCTGGTCATTACATTTCATTTAAAACAGAAAGCAATGGACAGATACAGATATGTTTCTGTAGTTTTTAAAAGTCTATTAGTCTAACTGTCTCTTTAAATCAATTCAACTTGCACAGTATGTACATATGACGTTCACTCGCACATGTATACTGTACTGTATATATAATTATCTTCACTCCTTTCTGTATGTATTTAAATTCAGCTGATCGGTGTTTTAAGTTATCTTATTGTTATTTTTTAATCATACTGTTACTTACATGTTTATTTGTATTCTTATTATCATATGGGGACTGTCCTGTGTTTCACTTTTATTCTGTTGCACCCACATTTCCCTATGGGAATGTTCAGGTTCCTTTTTGTAAATGGTGCTTCTGTGTCATGTTTAGATGCTTACATGTACAAGCCCAGTCTGCACTGATTGGTTAGCTGGTTGGCTCTGTTGTATTCGCCCCTAAGCCTATGACGTACAATGTGTTGGAGCGCTAGCCAATAGAAGTGCAAGTGTAACATAGTGATGTCACAAAGAATCCAATCGAAGCATTTCAGGCAGAAAAGGCAAAATAACACATTACACGGAAGGGGAAAACACAAAAAAGCTAAATAGGGTCCCTTCAAATATACACCACATTGTTTAATATGGTCGCATAAACCATATCGCTTCAGAGTGGAATGGTAAAAAAAAAAAATCCACTAATACAGTTTGCTTGAAAGAGAAGCTGTTTTTAGTCAATGACATTGTGTCAAGCATCTTTCACTTGTGACGGGGAACCATTTCAATCATACTTTTATATTTATGCAAAAACATGCAGGTGTGCCTTTAAGTTGCAAAGGAGTTTGTTGTCTTTGTAACATTATCACAGATGCCAGTGGCAGCAAGATGTATTCCAAAATAAACCTAAAGTAATCTTAAAGATCTCCTCAGTTAGTATTAGCTTTGACATGTTGTTCTTCTTCCATGATTGATGGGGGGAAAGGCTTCGGGTACAGAGCGAAACATGAGGCCTGGACATTCACATTGCCAGTCAACGGGCTCGGTGAATGAGGCCCAGGCAACAGCTATGTGGGGAATTGGGATCGAACCTCTGTGACACACACACACACACACACACACACACACACACACACACACACACACACACACACACACACACACACACACACACACACACACACACACACACACACACACACACACACACACACACACACACACACACACACACACACACACACACACACACACACACACACACACACACACACACACACACACACACACACACACACACACACACACACACACACACACACACACACACACACACACACACACACACACACACACACACACACACACACACACACACACACACACACACACACACACACACACACACACGGCACTCTGAGGAGCTGCACCAAAGGAAAGGGCATAAAGAGGTAGTGAAGGAGAGAGGAGAAGTGAACAAAGAGAGGGGAGGTGGGCAGAAGCTGTTTTTGTTTGTTTTCCAGCCAGGGAATTCAGTGTTTCTGTGCCCACAGTGACTGTATGTGCTGCACCAGTATGCAGACTGTGCGTGGCAATCACTTTAAAATGTGCATAGGGACAAGAATGAATGAGTCAAATTGATTAGCGCCTATAAAGCCCCATGATGCCTTGCTTCCACAGTGTTTGTTTTTTAAATATGCTGTTGTGACTGTTGGATGGCACACTGGTGGGCGATGCAAAATTGTTCTGCCGTGCAACAAACATCTATGCTATTGTCAAATGTAAATCAGTTTATGTCATGAATAATAAAAAACGTTTTATTTTTATAAATGTTGGACATATTTTTGCCATATTTGGACAATTTAAGAGAAAATCAACAATACGTTTTGAGATCATCCATACTGATAATCTTAGTTTACAAATCCTAAATAGTATGGAGGGTCAAATTCCAATTATAATTTGTGGTTTATCAAATGTCTTTTCTTTTTAAATTGTATGCTTTGTCATGTTGTCATGTCTCTTGTTTAGTACTTTATATGTTTCTTCCTTCAAAACATAACACCTAAATGTCTTTTGAAAGACAGTATCGACAATTAAGTATTGGAAAGTAAAAGCATTGTTTGCCATCTGTGGCGTTCCCATTTGTTATAAGGCTTTCTCATATGCTTCCTAGTAAGACAATGAACAAAGTATATGCAAAAACCATCCTGTCCTAGTTCAAGAGGACAGTATTATATGTCTTGGCATGCCTCCCGCTCTGCCATGGTCATTATATAGGGGAAATATTTGGGGAATTTCCACTTTATACCCGGATGACAGATTTTAAGGGTTGCAAATTTGTTTGGTGTCGGATGTAGAGAAGCAGAGACGTGGAGAGCTGTGATTAAAAAACAGATCAGAGCTTTAATTCCCCACCTCCCCAGCTTGCTGCTGTTGAGCTGTTTGATCACCATCCTGGCAGACTTTCTCAACATGCGAGGAGCTGAAGGCTGCTTTTTTGGATGATTCCTCTAACTTTAGATATCTGCCTGGCAAGGAGAGTTAATTACCGCAAGAATATTCATCGACAACAGCTCCTCTGTTGTTCATGCTTCCTATACTTGAACAAAAACACATAGCGCTGTTGATAGCATTAATCAATCATCAAGGAAACATGCCACGTTTGGCTACGAATCTCTAGGGGCTTTTGGGATTTTGGAACTGGGACAAACAATGAAATGTGGCAATAAGTCAAGAACAAAGGCCACACAGAAAAGCTTTTGGAGAATTTATAAACACTTCATAATCAATTTAGTGGCAGTCATGTCAAAAGGTCCAGATCACCTCAAATTGTTTCCAGAGACACTGCAGGCACACTCAGTATTACATCTTCTTCTTGAAAAGCAAATAAAAGCTCATGTCAGTGGGGTGAGATCTTTGTATTCCCAATGTTGTTTGATGGTTTATAAACCAAGTATTACATTACTTTAATCTAACACTTAAACCTTCATCTGAATAGTACCTCCCCCTCACACATTCCAAGCCCCCAGCTGCTTGTGCCTGTCTACGTTTAT